GTATACAAAGGTCTAATCAAAGCATCAATAAGGAACTTCAACTTTATCTTATCACACCCATGCTACATTGTAATAAAAATGACATCTTCCAGCAGTCTTCTAGAATTACTGAAACTTTTATGTTTCATTTAAGAAAAGATTCTTACAGTCTTTAACATGAACATTTCAACTTGCCTACATGAAAAATAAAGTGGTTTATATCTACTTTAATGCCATGCTCAAATTAGATAAATCTTAGTGATCACAGAAAAAGCTTATCAGAAATCCAGGTCTTTAAGATCATGGGGGGGAAAAGTAACACATATGATAAGACCTATGTCATATACCATACGTTAGCTAAATTCTATTTCAAGTAAGAGTTGATAGTCAGGAGTCTAAGTACGGCTAATGTTATTTTAACCATGTACCAAAAATAATTAAAAATACTTCACCCCTCATCTCCAAAACTAAATGAAGACATTTTTGTAGTTAACCATAGTGCCTTCATTTCCAAACACTTAATCGAGTTTTAAAAAGCTAAATATCCAAGCAATGATTCCTCTTCATTCATTGCTCTTTTAAAAAGATTCAAAAACAAGGTAATTTTCTACACGTGGGCCTTAAAATAAAACTTCAAGGGTTTTAAAATCATTACTGATTTGACCCAGACACCTGTATCTTCCAAACCTGATGTTTACACAATGGTTCAATGAAAACTCGGCATACGAAATCCAGTAGTGAGGCACTACAAGACTTAATCAAATGAAGCCATATTCCACCAGCAAAACAAACAAGTGTACACTGCACACATTTCAATATAACTCTATTTTTAAAGAAGGATTTAAACAGGAAAACCTTTGGTAAATTAACTGAAATTTAAATTTACTCATGTTTTAAATCCAACAAACATTTTAATTACCCTGCAGTCAAGAAACAATACTATTAACTATTTAAAAAAAATTAAAGCGTAATTTTTGAGACAGCTAATTATCTCCCACTTACCTGGTTTATACCGTAGCTCTGTATCTAAGACCCCAGAAAGTACTTCCTCTATCTTCTGAACTATTTCTTCATTTGGTAGATTCCTGGCAGAGGCAGCTGCATCACCTGCCTGGTTTCCTTCAATAGGTGTATTTGTTTCACCATTAAGCTGGCCTTCACTCCTTCCACTTGACAAGAAAAGTTATCAAAAATGATTAGTATTTTGATGGCTCTACGTGATAAATTTGTATCTGTAACTCATTAAGATCTTATATTGCACATAAACGTCACCATTTCTGTACTTCTTTCAGACTACAACCCCCATAAATAGGACTTCCTTAACAATTTCTCCTGATAGTACGATTTCATTTTTACACATTTTCAAAAATATAAAAGAACTTTTAGTTTTAAAAGTTTTAAATAAAATACTCGCAGGAATCTAAATTGAGACTTTTGGATTTCTTGCATATATTACAGGAGAAAAATTAAGCTTACATCACAAATCCAAAAAGATGTAAGACTTAACATTATGGCAAAAACATTAACCACAATGAAGCTGCACTTGTGTATAGATCACACTATCCATCAACGGTGTCAAGGAGCATAAAAGTTAGCCTCAAACGCATTAAGTAAAAAGAGTAACTTGTAGCCTCTACTCAGGGTTAGACCAATCAGTTAATGAAGTGCCATAAAATTTAAAAAGAAAAATACATACATATAATTTATATCATCAGAAGTTCCGTTATTTAAAAATCTGTTCAAAAAAATTCATGTGAAAAAAGTGAAAATTCATTTATACAAACAGTAAACGAATACATGGCTTAACAAATTTTCAATTCATGAGGTTAGACCAATCTTGGCAGAACATGTCACTTACCTAGCTATTTTTACTATTTTCGCATAAATTTACAACGTTTTGAAAAACATAAGCATGATCAACTTTAACCTAACTTCAATTTTAGCTAACAAAACAAACCAAAGTTTTGCTCCACTATCTGATAAAAGTCTGAATGGTGAAAAAACAGCAACCAAAAAAATCAGTAATTAACTAAATGTTACTAAAGAACATTTGCTTTTCAAATACGATGAATCATATAATTATCATTTGTTGACTAACAACTAATGTCACATATTAAACTCATTTAATGCTAACAAAACTAAGGCCCGCACTACTATTGAATTTATAAATGAGCAAAAAAAGACACAGACAGAAACCTAGCTGAAGGTCACAACTATTAGCAGGTAAATGCTATTCAAAACCAGAGCCCATACTTAAAGGACACATTTATAAAGTAACTTAACTAAGATCTAAACACCAGTTTCCTTGCCAAAACAAATGTTCGTGAAAAACAGGGGAAAAGGAAATAATCAAAAATTTGTTTTTAGACTGATACTGTATTACACATTTGAAAAGAGCTGATTTTAACTCCAGTTATAGATCAGTGTGTAATGTTTTTTAAACTTTCTGTAATTACTTCACCTTTTTCTAAACATACCATACATAATCACATTACCAAAAGTCATCCATTTTAATATCAGAAAACTACGACCAAGAAAAAAAAGCCAGTTGGTGAAAGAGTAACCACCTCAAAACTAACAAGCTGTTTATCACAATGAAAACCAGTAAACAAATCACCCAAAAAACCATCAAGACATTACTACAATCAAATCCTATAAAACCGTAAGATATGTGGCAAAAAAACTGATGAAAAATGAATTCAAGGTAAAAAAGGCGAAAAACGAACACAAACTTCCTATTTCACAAAATTCGTGTGTGCATCTTTATACACAGGAAAAACGTGAATATCAGTAACTAGTGGGACTCCCACTTGCCCCCCAAGTTTCCAAAAAGGAATAGCACAAAAATTGCTTTTAAAATACTTAAGCAGAAAAACGACAGCACGCAAACACAGCTGCTCATTAGCCCACGAGACGACTCACGCTATTTACTAGTTTTCAGGAAAATTGTGTTCCCTCAGCTCAGGTCTTCCCCCATCATCTTAAAACTGCAGCAAAGTGCAGAAAGCAACGAGTGCGCGGATTTATTCCCCACTTAAAAAAAAAAAAAAAACAACAACCCGCAAAATCAGCCCCTCGAGCTCCACCCCCGCCACCTCCCCCGCGGTTAACTGGGGCGCTTCACGGACAGGGAAGTTTTCGGCCGACTCCGCTCCACGCCGCCGCTCCCGCTCCCCACTGCTCAGCCCCCAGCGCGCTCACACCCCTCAACTGGGAACCCGGATTCTCGCCACACAAAGCCGGCGCCGCAGCCCGGCCGCGCCGCCCTCGCTCGCTCCCGGCGGCCGCGGCCTCGCCCCGCCTGGGGCCGGGAGGAGCCCGGCGGCCACGCCGAGCGGCGCCGTGGAGGGTGTCAGCGGGGAAACCCAGACCTCCTCGCCGGCCCACGCCGCACGCGCCCCGGCGAGAGACGCCCACGAACGCCCAACTCCCGGCCGCCTTCGCCCGCATCTCCCGAGCCCGGCGGGAGCAGCCCTCGGAGCCGCCGGACACCGCGCCTCGCCCCGGGGCGCCTCGCCGGGAGCCACGGGCCACCGCGGCGCCAGCGAGCTCTCCAGGGCCCCGAGTCGCCAACGGCCCGAAACGTGCAGGAACAGAGCGGGCCCAGGCGGGCCGGGAACGGCCGTTGGAGACCCTTCCGGGCCCGGGACCCGGCGGCGGGGCCGCGGGGGGAGGGGAGAGGCGGCGGCGGAGGAGGAGCCGCGGGGGCCAGGCCCGGCCCCGGCGGGCGAGCCGGCCCACGGGCGGCGAAGGGCAGGGTGACCAGGCGGGGAGGGAGAAGGCGCATCCCGGCGCGCTTCTAGAGGAGTCCCGGGCTGCCCCCGAGAGGGCGAAGTTGCTCGCGGCGACGGGAGGGCGCGGATGGGGGAGTGGGGGGGCAGGCCGGAAAATGGATCCCAGGCCCAGGCGGGGCGGTAGCGGGCCTCGGGCGAGGGACGACGGCGCCTCGGAAAAAGGAGGCCGTGGGCGGCTACCTGGGGCGCTAACGGTCCCTGGGGAGCAGAAGCGTCTGGGAAGCGGTTACCTGGAAAGCTCCTGTTGAATTTCCCGGAATTTACTGACCACGAAAGACCTAAAAATCTGCTCGATGTTGGTCGCCATGGCGTCCGCTCCGTTCTCTCAACTCCTCCTCGCTAGTCCTCCAGGCTCCCAGCATGCCTCGGGAGGAGGCGCAGCGGCCAATTCCGTCTCTCGCCGTCCTGATTGGCTCGTGTGGGAGCGTCCTGCCCGGCACGCTCCGCCGCTAAGCCAATCAGAGGGCACGCCCCTGCTCTCCTCCGCTGTTTCTGAGCGGCTGGGGTAGAGCTGCTGACGTTTGCGCCGCGCACGACTCTGTCCGCCATGTTAGTGACACTGACGCAGACGCCGCCATTACAGGAATAGTCTCGCTTGAGGCGATTATGTCTGCTTAAGTTGCCGGGTCTCCACAATGTGTGGGAGAATTAAGAGGCTAACTTTCGCCACTACGCGCCTGACATTAAAAGGGAGCAAGAAGGGCAATCTGGTGTTAGGCAAGGGGCTTCCAACATTCCCGGGTGGCGCCGTTTCCTCGGGGAGGTGCATCCGGGAAAGCAATCACCAGCACCCGCCCCTCGTGTGGGGCGAGTACGAAGGACACGTTTACCCCCTTCCGTCGCCTAGGCAACGTACTAGCAGCCTCATTTCGCTTTTTAGCAATAGGCTGGAGGGCCTAAGCGGCCCGCGTCCCACGCCTGCTTTCTAGTCTCGTTTGGAGCCGGGCGTTATCGCGAGACTTCAGAGCGGTGGCTGCTCAGTGCAGACCCAGCAGCAAAACAATAGCTACAAGCGCATGAGCGTTTGTGGCTTCCTCCTCCTCGGTGCTGAGGAGGCGCGCGGGGAAGAATAGAGCCGATACTTGGAATCTACAGTGTGCGCCCGCAATGAAAAAGCCTTGCAAGGAAGCTTCTGCGCCACTGCGCGGGAGGCCGCGCTCGAGGAGGCGGGCCGATGGCCGCGTCGGCCAATGGGAGGCCGAGGCGCGGGGCGGGGGGCGGGACTTCCTGAAGCTTTGAAGGGCGCGCTGTGGGCCTTGAGGCGCCTCGTGTCGGTGCGTAACCCGTTTTATCTTCTCCGCAATGCCCGTTTCTGCTGGGGTCGGGGGAGCTAATGTCGGAAATTGGATGAAAGCGTGGAACCGGTTGGGCGGTGGGGAGTTTCATCTTATCTGGAAACGCCATGGTGGGGCTGGCCATGTGCTTGTAACTTGTAACTGAAGTTTGGGGGGGGCCCTCCCTGCCTTCCAAGATGTCCGCCCTGCACCCGCGCGCCCCGGGCCAGGCCGCCCGCCGGAGGGGCGCCCACCTCACCGCGTTTGCTCGTTGTGCACCCAGGGACTCTAGCAGGTTCTGTTCATTTTTGTAATTGGTAGTATGCAGTTGTGCCTACTACTCGATAGTGTGCACCAAATCGCTTGAAATGCCTACCTGGCTCTCATTCTCTTCTCATTTTTCTCAAGTTGGATTTATTTTTTCGGTCGTTTACGTAACTCGTGTATGGTCACATTTCACCCTCTCCACGTACCTGCACAGTGCAAAGGTCGGCTGTCCCTTGTCCCCCCTCCTCCTCCCCCTTGCCTCTGGTAACTAGAATTGTTAGGGGGAAAGGATGTCCTAAAGCTAATTCCATACAGGCTTTGTGGATGCAACAGAATGTCTCTCAGAGTCTGAGAATTATTTTTGCTCTGTTTTGCCGTTTATTCTTATAAGTTACTTGGGTGCATGGCTTAGACCTAATAAGGTTAAGTTCCTGAAGGTCAACCCAAAGCAAGGTGCTTTGGCTGGACCACGGCCTGCTGACTACCGCAGGGGCAAAGTTCCTTTAGGTTGGGTCTTAATGCTGCCTCAGTGATCCAGTATAGTAACCTGCACAGCCTGCTTCATTCCCTTCTCAAATTAAATGCAGTGTTTCTTCTAAAGATCTGTTTATTTCAGGAACACGTTGTGATTTCAATATGTAAGGAGACATTTTGAGTCTTTTTCCAGTAAACTAAAATAGCTTTTCTCTCCCTAAGACTAAAATTTAGTAATTCTTATTCTTCCTCAAATATTTAGTAATCACCATCTTTATTGTTAGAATTTTCCAGGCACCACCTCCTCTTAACAGTGTTTATTTATACCTCATAGACTTCTTATGAAGATTAAGTGATGCAATTCATGAAAATCTTTTAGAATAGCACCTGGCACAAAGTACTCAAAAAGGAGCATTAGTCCATCAACTTAGCTTTCTTTATTCATTTGTAATCCTAGCATCTCACAGGAACAGATTTTCTTCTTCCTGTTAATTATTGGCCATCTACATAATTAAATGTCTTCTGAAAATTAGTAAATGAAAATTATTTGGTTTTTCTCCTATTAAAACTACTTTCTATCTCTAAAATAGTTTAATTTAAAGTGATGAAATATAACAAGTTAGCATTTACTACTGATGCGTGTTAGAAATTGTACTAATTGTGTCGGTTCAATTAATCCTTTTATGGCCTCCTAAAGCAAATATTCTTGCTCTTAATTCAAGTGAAGACATAAAATTACCTGTAGTAAAAGCTTAGCTTAGGTCATGCCGCTAATTTGATTCCAGAGATAGCTGCTGTACTTGTGTTGGTCAGAATAAAATTCAAGAACTAAAATGAGTCATGTCCATATTTTATTTTTGCGTTCTCTGTGGATTTTTTTTTTAATATATTGCATAAACTTCTTAAACCAGGAATAAGGAAACTATGACCATTGTGCCAGATTTTTCATGTCTCATATTTTTTCCACATCTTGACAAATGAGTAACTTTTGCATAGTTAAATGGTTGGAAAAAAAATAAAACTTTTATGACATGAAAATTACGAAACTTAAAGTTTTATTGAAACAACTGTGCTTATTCTTTATAAACCTCTGGTAACTTCCTACTGCTTAGAGCAGAGATGGGCAAATTATGATCTGTACCCATCGCCTGTTTATGTAAGTTTTTACTAGATTTACCTGTATTCATCTACTTACATTCATACCACAATGAGTACCCTTTCCAGAACCCCATCTTAACGCTGTTTTAAGTTTAAAGTCTAAGATTTTAGGCATTTAAATTTGGAGTCTAAATTTAAAATATCAGGATTATATTTAACCAAGATTTGATTACTGTTAAACCTTATAAAGGCGAAGCCCAAAGAAGAGTGAATGTTCATTAGAGCTAAATCACCATTTCCGTCCTTAAACTAACTTGTTAGGCTAGCCTGCCTCTTTTTTATTGTTGGTCTGTTTTTTTTTGTTTGTTTGTTTTTTGTTTTTGAGATTTATTTATTTATTTATTTATTTATTTATTTATGCAAGAACCGGGGTACAGGCCAGATGTGCGGGAGGATGAGAGGATTCACCAGAAACAGAGTGGAGAACAGAACAGGCAGACTGATGAAATACACTGCTGAGGGAAGCAGTGGGCGAGATAGGAGAGGTCCGCTGCACCATGTGGGACCCTCGCTGGCCGGCTGGGATTGAACCGGCACTGCAGAGGTAGCCTGCCTCATTTTTAAACACCTCCCTAATCTTTATGAGTACTGTTATTTTTCTCAAATTATGAATTTTTTTTCACAAGTGAGTAATTGATTTAAAATGTCATTTGCATGATTACAAATGCCTCCTTAAATCATTTAAAAATTGTCATATCTAGGACCTCCCCGGTGGCGCAGCGGTTGAGCGCTGGGTTGCGAAGCTGCCCTCAGCCTCTGGGGCGCAGGTTCGATCCAGGCTGCTCCCCGGCCACCGGAGGAGGGTCCCACATGGCGCGCAGACCTCTCCTGCCACCCGCTGCTCCTCTCAGCAGTGTACTTCGGTCCTTCTGCCTGCTCTGCTCCCCGCTCTGGCTCTGGTGAATTCTCTCACCCTCCCGCGCTTCTGACTGTACCCAGTGCATGTATAAACAAACAAATAAATAAATAAACATGCCTCTATAAAAAAAATAAATTAAAAAAAATAAAAATAAAAATTGTCATATCTAAAGTAAGTACATTCTAAGATACTGACTGCAGTTTTCTTTCCATGGCTCTTATTTTCCTTTTGAATTCCTTTGCAGACAAAGCAATGACAGCCCGAGTGCTTGTAATTGGCAATGGAGGAAGAGAACATACACTGGCCTGGAAACTTGCACAGTCTTACCATGTCAAGCAAGTGTTGGTTGCTCCAGGAAATGCAGGCACAGCCTTCTGTGAAAAGATTTCAAATACTGGTAATTCATGTTTTAAAGAGGTTGTGGGGGAGGGGTTGCAATAATTATTACCTACTCAAGCAGCTGACCTTGTAAAAACCTATCTTTATATGGTCAACTGCTATTCAGTGCTTTTCTTAACCTTAGAATTCATGGTCATTTGCATATTTAACCTCCAAATGATGTGTATTTAACCCATTCAGTTCACTATGGCATTTATCTTAATAACTTATAATCTTATAAAGAGATTGAAAAGGGGAGCCTCCCTGATGGTATAAGGATTAAGTCTCAGTGCTATCACCTCTGCAGCCTGAGCTCAATCCCTGGCCAGGGAGCTGACCCACATGACGCAGCAGACCTCTCCTGTCTCACCCACTATTTCCCTTGTTACAGGGTAGGGAGAGGGCCACCCCAGGCCCCGCAGACCTGCCTGCCCTAAATAGATTCTGCCATCCGCTGCATCAATGCAAAACGTATGAAACTTTAATGGGAAGGAACTTTAATACAATTAGAAAACAATACAGGAAAGGCAAACAATATAGTTTCTAAATCAAGTACCCAAAGTTACCCATTCCCGTCGTGGGTAAAAGTCCACCCGAGCGGGATTGGCCCAGAGCAAGACCCCAAAGCCTGCCACAAGTCTTAAAGCATCTTCCAGTGGGGATCCACAGAAAAGGATCAGAAACAACCAGACAAGACTGAAAGGAAGAGAAAAATCAAAATCAAGAGAAAAACCACCATTGTCACCTCCCCATGGGTCTCTCACCCACATCTGTGTCAACCAGTCCACGACCAAAAAGCAAGCGCAGTTTCTTCATGTGTCTCGGCTCCTTGTGCCTCCTCGGGGTCTCCTGGCTCCATCCTGCTTCCTTCCTCCCTCAGTCTCCTCTACAACTTCTCTCCCTGCTCGGCTCCACCCTCCTTTTGGGTAGGGCAGGAAACCTGGAACCTCCCCCTTTCCTGGGAACGACCCTGTTACACCCTCAGCAGTATATTTGAGTAGATTCATCTGTTCTGCTCCCCAGTCTGCTCCCCAGTGAATCCTGTAGCAGCCTCCCCAACACCCTTGGCCTACAACCCAGTTCTTCTATGTATAAATAGGTAGGTAGGTAGATAGATAAAAATAAATCTTTTAATAAATAGATTAAAAAGTCATAAGTGTGGGGCCTCCCTGGTGGCGCAAGGGGTTAAGACGCAACCCATGAAACTATCTGCAGCCACTGCAGCACAAGTTCAATCCCTGGCCAGGGAGCTACCCACGTGGCGCAGCAGACCTCTCCTGGCTCGCCCACTGCTCCCCTCAGCAGTGTATTTCAGTCTGTCTGCCTGTTCCCCACTCTGTCTCTGGTGAATTCTTTCACCACCACCACCCCCCACACCTCTGGCCTGTACCCCAATTCTTGTATGCATAAATAAATCTTTCTTTTAAAAAAAGTCATAAATGCATAATACAACTTAACAGCATTTGATAGGTATTTTCAGGAATGAGAAATGTCAGGATATTAAATTCTGACAGTAAATCAGTAAATTCTGACAATTCTAACCCCGTAATAAATCTCAACCCTTTTCTCTGCCACTGGTACAAAAAAATGGAGGGGAGAGGGATGTTCAACACATATGCTGCATTAACCACTTCAGTGACTTTCCACAGTACCTAGAATAAAACTGAAACTTGCATAACATTCCTTGTAAACCCCTTTGACCTGACCTCTGCCTACCCTTCCACCCTGATTTTTTCATGTCCTTTGTTTTCTTTTCTCTGTCCATGCAGTTCTGCCAGTTTCCCAGACAGCTGCCCTAGACTTTGTATTTATTCCCACGCCTAGCTTGACTGCCTCTTCCTCCTTCAGGTTTCAGCTTGTACTTTAGGAAAGGTATCTTTCCTAGACTTTCTAAATAAATCGTGTTCGCTCCTATTTTATTTGATTAGGATCATGAACCAACCATTGTATTTTTGCTTTTGTGTTGTCTGTCTTCTATATTTCCCCCACCACCAAACATCAACTCTAATCGAGAAGCTACATGAGGGCAAATAACTCATCTGTCTGTGTTTTCCATTGTATGTACTTCACCTACAATATTCTCACAAGCATCCTAAGTGTATAGACCCAAATATTATAGCAGTAGCTTAATCATGGACACCAGGACAGATTCTGGCTTCTGAACTTCAGAGTAAATTTTGAGTGACTGATATTAAAAGATAAATTTCTGAATATATTCTGATTTTTTTTTGTTGGTTTGCTTACAGTCACCACTAGTGACCATAGTCAAAGTACTTTGTAGCTCTTTGCGAAAGTTACTGCAATTTTCATCTAAGTTACTGTAGCAATAGCAAAGAACTTGGTTGATGAGTCTGATAGACTCTGCTCTGGATTTTTCCACTTGGAGACAGGTTCAATAAAGGAAACCTGGGCCTCTCCTGGTGGCACAGTGGTTGAGCGCTGGGCTGCGAAACTGCCTGCAGCCTCTGCAGCGCCAGTTCGATCCCCAGCCGCCGGCAAGGGTCCCACATGGTGCACAGACCTCTCCTGCTGCGTCCACTGCTCCCCTCAGCAGTGTATTTCATCTGTCTGCCTGTTCTGTTCCCCTCTCTGGCTCTGGTGAATTCTCTCACCCTCCTGCGCTTCTGGCTGTACCCAGTGCTTGTATAAACAAACAAACAAATAAATAAATCTTTAAAAAAAAAAAATAGAAATCAATAAAGGAAACCAAGAGTTAACCAACATACCAGAATATAGTGATTAGTTTTTAGCATAACACTTAGTTAACTTAAAAAGTGTTTTATAAGTGAAGTGGGTTTGTTTCTTCTGTTCACAGCTGTTTCTACCAGTGATCACACTGCCCTTGCTCAATTCTGCAAAGATAACAACATTGATATGGTGGTTGTTGGACCAGAAGCACCTCTGGCTGCGGGTAAAGTTCATTTACATTATTGCAGTAAATGCAGTACCAGCAGAAGCTTAAAGATCATCTACTGCAGGTTGTTTACAGATGAAAATTCTGATATTGGAGGAAAAAACCTCGCCATCTTATATTAGAAAAAAATCTTTGACACTCAGAATTTATGGACTCTAGATTATTTTTCCCCAAGCATCATAATGTGATGGCGAGACCATGTTTGCAGTGTGGGAAACATGTTTTTATTCTGCTCTATTCTGGTGTCTTTAATAATCCAAAACTTGCTGGATTTGAATCACATGTTAGTAGCATTTATTTATAGATCTTGTGGCTAACATGTGAAAAACATTGTTCTCTGCCACCAGTCATTGCCTTTTCTCAATGTAGATTTGGTCTAATTCTTCAGAATGAGAAGCTCCCACAGAGATCTTGGCTCATCTAAGGTTGCTTGTCTCTGTCCATAGGAATTGTTGGGAACCTGACATCTGCAGGGGTGCGATGCTTTGGCCCCACAGCTGAAGCAGCTCAGTTAGAGTCCAGCAAAAGATTTGCTAAAGAGTTTATGGATCGACATGGGATCCCAACTGCAAGATGGAAAGCTTTCACCAGAGCTGAAGAGGCCTGCCGCTTCATTATGAGGTAAGTAGAAGGGCAGTTTTTTTGTATGATACTTAAACACATCAGTGACTTTTATGCCTTTATAGTAAGGTAATTATGAAAATAAGTCAGACCGTGTAGTTTGCCTTTATCCAACATCAAAATAAAATGGGAGTCTGTATATACACATTACGCAATCTTGTGGCCTTGGAGAAAGAGCAGAAAGATTAATTTTTAACACTACAGAATAGTGTCTGAGGAAAAGATACACTAGGTTCTGCAGTTATGTGCTCTTTTCACAACCAAATTGACAACTACAGTGGCATCTTACAGCATGAAACTGATTTTTTTTTCCCCCATAAATAACCAGAGTAAAGAATCACTTGAGGGCCTCCCTGGTGGCGCATCGGTTGAGCGCTGGGTTGCGAAGCTGCCCACAGCCTCTGCAGCGCTGGTTCAATCCCCGGCTGCTCCCCGGCCACTGGAGGAGGGTCCCACATGGCGCGCAGACCTCTCATGCTGCCCGCTGCTCCCCTCAGCAGTGTGCTTCGGTCCTTCTGCCTGCTCTGCTCCCCCCTCTGGCTCTTGTGAATTCTCTCACCCTCCCGCGTTTCTGACTGTACCCAGTGCTTGTATAAATAAATAAAAATAAATCTTTGGAAAAAAAAAAAAAAAGAATCATTCTATCCTCTGCCATCACTGTTGGATTCTAAATCTTAAACATTCTTTATTTTCTATTATATGAAAAACACTGAGTAGTTAAGGAACATTGGTAGGTGTGTGCCTTTATCCTTTTTGTTGTTGACACTTCATTTCTTTTAGTTGGGTTAGTTTTGTTCTTTATTCATTCTTTATCCTACAGGATTGCTTAAACATTGATTATTATTTCCTAGTGGCCAGATGCTTTCGGTAAGTAACAAGTTTGTTATTTAAGTCTCCCTTGAGGTAACCAGTCTTATTCAGTAGAAGGAATTATCAGCAACAGTTTCTCGTGTGTACTTCAGAAATGGGCTGTGTGTCACTACCTATATTGGTCTCATCCAGTCACATCTTTATCTTAAAGATCATTCCACATCTGCTTTGTACGACTGGTTTATTCTTTAAAAGCTTTTACCTATATGATCTCATAATAAGTGAAAAGAGCAAAATTGTATGTATTCTGTAATCACAGCTATAAAAGAAAACGGGGGAAATCCTGTGGGAAATACATCATAATTTTATTATCAACAAATTTTTTTCTTTCCACTTCTCAGTTGTTATAGCATATCACAAAATCCCAAAACATTTAAAACTTTTGAGTTGTGTGGTTTTATTGGGTGCTGAAGTTTACTCTGTCTTCACAGTGCAGACTTCCCTGCTTTGGTTGTGAAAGCCAGTGGTCTTGCAGCTGGGAAAGGGGTGATTGTTGCAAAGAGCAAAGAGGAGGCCTGCAAAGCAGTGCAGGACATCATGCAAGTAGGTTGGCTCATTGGAAAAAGTTAATCATTTTCTAGTCACATTGACTAAATACTCTGGAGTTTATGAAACATTCCTCAAGATAAGGAAAACATCCAGCAAAGACAAGCTATTTTTACAATACTATATTGTTTTTTATATATATGTATACACATACATATATAGAGGGAGAGAGAGTCATCTATGAAAGGTGATTACAGATCTACATTGCTGGCTAAACCATGTTCTGTTGAAATAAGTTCTAGCATCCTTTCTTATCTGCTACTTAAGGAGATATATATATATAGAGAGAGAGAGAGTGAGAGAGAGAGAGACATAGCTGTCTATATATGACCTATTCATGAGAACAAAAGTATTTAACCTGTGTGTCCCTGGTCTACCCTTTGTGTGTCCCACCTTATAGAAATCTACTTTGTCAGACATTCTTTAATATAGTTATTCAAACATGATATTATAGTCAGAAATGAGAATTAAATGGTGATGATAAAAATAACTTATTATCATATCTGAAAGTGGAGCATCAGAAGCTAGGAGTGTTACATCACTTATACCATACTGGATCTACATAATTGCCACTGAAAGATAGGAAACATTCATGAGTTCCTTCGACATTTTCAGAAAGGGAAATATCAGTGTGTTGTTAAATATCAGCCGATTATGTACATACTAAAAGCAAACAGTTTACCTCTTTTCATTTTTTTTAATCTATAAGGATAAAGCTTTTGGAGCAGCTGGAGAAACAGTTGTCATTGAAGAACTTCTTGAAGGAGAAGAAGTATCTGTACGTATATAGAGTATAAGATACTGTTACCTGACCTAATCATCCCTTTTTATTCTTTTATTTTTTTTTAAAGATTTATTTATGCATACAAGAAATGGGGTACAGTCCAGAAGTGCAGGGGGTGGAAGGATTCATCAGAGACAGAGTGGGGAACAGGAGGATTGATTGAAATATGCTGCTGAGGGGAGCAGCAGGCGAGGCAGGAGGTCTGTGCCATATGGATAGCTCCCTGGCTGGCCAGGGATCGAACTCAAGCTGCAGTGGCTGTGGATGCTTCATAGTGCTGCATCTTAACCCCTTGCTTCATCAGGGAGGCCCTTGTCCCTTTTAAAAAAAAAAAAGACTGACAGTTGTTGCTTCCTCTATAAACAGACCCAGCATTGACATGAATGTGTGTACATTTACACAAAAGTGTATTTGGTATGCAATGAGAAAAAAAGAATTCATCCTGCAGATCAGCAGGACTCACAGCACTTACTATGGTGGGGAAGGAAAGTAACTTGATTACTCCCACTTAGCTCAGAAATGACAGTTTCTTTGGAAACTGAGTACAGAAGGTCTTCTGATTCTTGATTTGGTGACTTAAGGATATTTATGTTTCAAGTCATTTTATTTTAAAAAACAAAACTTTTCCTTTAAGAATTTCTCTCTCTTTTTTATACTTTCTCGGCATGTGAGGAAAGTATACGGTTTGCTTCTCTCTCCAGTGTCTGTGTTTCACTGACGGGAGGACCGTGGCTCCAATGCCCCCAGCCCAGGACCATAAGCGACTGCTGGACGGAGACCAGGGCCCCAACACAGGGGGGATGGGGGCCTACTGTCCGGCACCTCAGGTACTCCCAGAGCCCAGCTAAAGTTGAGAAGTAGCTGGTATTCTCAAAGAACTCTGAGATGACACATTTATGTTTGTTTTTTTATGTAAAGGATTACTGATTGGCAATTTGGTTTTCCTTTTAATTGAAAAGTATCTCTTCTAGTCTCACTCTTTTAACTCACCTTTTTTAAAAGTCTTTGAAGACTAGAGTTAAGTTATAGGTTGAACAAATCCTTCTGGCCCCTCTCTATACCCATTTTTCACTCAGAAAAGCCAGTTAGAGTTTATTCATTCTTTGACTCTCCAGAGCCCAGGATATAAATGCCCAGTAAGAGTGTGATGAATTGAGAACCAGGTCAGACCATGGTTTTTCATGACTTTCTGCTTCATAATGGATAGTGTGTTTCCAAATAATATCTAGGCAGCTTTTATAAGAAATATGTTTTGTTTGACAATGTAATATATAGATTAGCACTTCAAAAACTCACCCATTCCTTTCACTGGTAATAATGTTGATGCTAATAATATAGTGCTTTAATTAAAAGATTAAAATTCAGCTCAAGCAGAATTTACTTTGTAAGTATTGAAACCACCAATTGGTGGAAATGATTTTAACGTGTCTAGATTTAATTTTCATAAATTTATAAACTTGGGTTTTTAAAATTATAGGCAATAAAATGTACATTAGTGAACTTTAAGGGTTTCTGTGTTTGAAATCTATGTTTAGTAATAGAAGGTGACTTAACAGTCACCAGGTTCTGATGCTGATCAAAAAATGCATAATCCAGCATCTGCTTGTGATAACTTTTACTTCTCAAGAGGTTTTATATAGTATTTTTTTTAAGAAAGCAAAGAAAGGTAAGTTTCTACTTAAAAGTGTCAATGTGAGGATTTTTAAGTTTATGAATTACTTTTTAATCTTTTTTATTGAACTGTTATTTTGTATCCTTGTTCATCTTTTTCACAATAAAGAATTAAAGTTTATGAATTTGAAGTGCTCAACCTATCTCAAGAAGCCAGTAAATGATAGTTTTCATGGTCCGGGTAGTATCGCTTACAAGATATTTTCTAAATGCCAGTTACATTTAAATAGTTTTCTATGTCCCCTAGATTTCTAAGGATTTGTTATTAGAGATTAAAAATACCATACTTCAGAAGACAGTGGATGGCATGCAGCAGGAGGGTGTGCCATACACAGGTAAGCACAAGGTGGTGTTGTGGGCATTGTTCATAGTGTAAGTTAGCACCTGCCACAGAACTTCATTCCTATTTTGTTTTACCACCTTTTAAGTAACTACCATTATAATATTATAGTTATTTGAGAACTTTGAGTATTAGAACTTTATCGTTCTAATTTTCATAGTCACAATGTGATGTCCTTACCCTTTTTTTCCCCCTTTTTTATGAAGGTATTCTCTATGCGGGTATTATGCTGACCAAGTGTGGCCCGAAGGTTCTAGAATTTAATTGCCGTTTTGGTGATCCAGAATGCCAAGTGGGTAATAATTAAAGATAATACAATTTGTATAAAATGTTAATTTGTATAAAATGTGGTTTGGGTTTTTTTGTTGTTGTTGTTGTTGTTTTTAAGATTTATTTATTTATACAAGCATTGGGTACAGTCAGGAGCGCGGGAGGGTGAGGGAATTTATCAGAGCCAGAGCAGGGCGCAGAACAGACAGACTAACGAGGTACACTGCTGAGGGGAGCAGCGGGCGCAGCAGGAGAGGTCTGCACGCCATGCGGGACCCTCACCCAGTGGCCGGGGATCTAACCGGTGCTGCAGAGGCTGCGGGCAGCTTCGCAGCCCAGTGCTCAACCGCTGCGCCACCGGGGAGGCCCTGTAGAAAATGTGTTTTAACCTCAGAATTTATCAGCCTTGATATAATGTTCACCCTATGTATCCTACAGGTCTATGTGCAGCTTCAGCCAATGAAAATGCACGCAGTATAGACAGGCCTACAATGGGTGCATCTGTACTAAACATGTACATGAACATAACCTTTTTTTAATAGTCATCTAGTTCTGACCAGTACTGGTCATTACTCACTAAACAATATAGCGTAACAACCGTATACATAGCATTTGTACTGTATACTTATAAGTAACAGAAATGACTTAGCGTCTACTGGAGGATTGTGCATAGGTTATAAGAAATGCTACACATTTCATATAAGGGACTTAAGCATCCCCCACCCTTGGCCAGTGGTACCTGGATGCCAAGGGACAATTTTAATTGCCTTTGAGAAATATAAACTAGTTCTTCCACTATCTTGTCATAGTAAATAAAATGCCTAAAGAGAACTAAAATTTCTCTCAGTTGCCTTGATATTTCTCTCAATTGCTTTGATGATGTTTTTTCCAGGTGATCCTCCCTCTTCTTAAAAGTGATCTTTATGAAGTGATTCGGTCCACCTTAGATGGTCAGCTCTACACATCTCCACCTCTTTGGCTTGAAAACCGCACTGCAGTAACTGTTGTCATGGCAAGTAAAGGTTACCCTGGAGACTACACCAAGGGTGTGGAGATAACAGGTAAATATCAGAGAACAGAAGGTTGCATTACAGTGTGACACTGACCAGAGGCATCTTGGGCCTCCATCTCTTGCTAATGTTCTGCTCTTTTTAAGTACATAAGGCCACCAGAAACCTTTCAGGGGTTCTTACCATAACCGTGTTGCTTTTTGGATGTTTGTGTTTCATTGTTCAAAATTACTGTGTTTAAAGAACTGCCACCTGTGTCCCTTCCTACACAAGGAAGACTGATGTGGATCTCACCAAGTTCCAGAGTATTTCCAAGAACGACCTCTCATTGCCACCCTCCAGGAGCCAGAAAGATGATGTGGATGTTTAAGAGTCAGAAACATCAGAATAAACCATGTAAAGGCATGATCACAAATGGGACAGCTGGTTTGCGGTGCACATGTGGTCACTTGGGTGGCAGAATTAAGAGTTTCAAAGGACAGTTGACCCTTGAACAACATGGTTTTGAAGTGTACAGGTCCACTTAAATGCAGATTTTTTTCAACAAATATTTAAATGTGTATGTGATATTCCTAACATTTTTTTCTAGCTTTATTGTGAGACTGCAGTATATGTATTCGTCAGCTGTTGCCAGTAAAACAGTAGGTTCTTTGGGGGAGCTTAAGGTTGTAATCAGATCTTTGATGCCTGGGGCAGGGGCCAGCACCTCTAGTAGTCCCCCTGGCAGTTGCTTAAGGTCAATTATCTACCTTCTCTTTACATCTAGTTCAATGATGTTAAATCCAACAGTATTTTAAAATACCATACAAGTTCCAGTGTCATAAGCCCAAAGGTAGACCTCTGTGACCCCCTAGGAGGCTATATAGTTTGGCCTTCTTGGTGCCCCAATAGTGCGTTGATTTATACACTCTATTTACTGTCTTGTCCAGACAATAAGCTCATTGCCCTATGAGTCCCACACATGGTAACTGGGCAGTTAGGAATTGTCTTTTAAAATGGCCAAAAAAAGAGGTAGGGTAGCATTGGATCTGCTCCCTAAGATTGAGGCAGTGGTAATTTTTTGTTGTTGTTGCTGTATTGTTTTTCGTTATTTCTGATATAGCGATATACCGGCAAGTATTATGACTTGTGTTACAAAAACATTTGGAGACATATGTTAGCAACTACCAAATGTGAGGCTAAGAGAAAAATGAAGAAGGAAAAGGACAAATCGAATTATAAGAATGATTTGGCTTGGTGTTTTTTTTTTAATTAAGTGCTTGTATTTGTATAAATTGTTCCTGTTGGTCATTTTAGAATTTAAAAAATACAGTCTAATAATAATTTAAGCATGAAATGATACCTGAGAGCTTAAAAATAACCCAAAAAAAAATGAAGCCATGGATTTTAGATTGAGCCCAAATGTTTATTTAAATTTGTCTCAAGATTATAAAATTCTTAATGTGAGGGAGATGATTAAGAATGTTTTTATCCCACAGAAACCCTATTAGCTATTTTAAAAAGAAAACAACTTTACTTGGATGATTACAATAAAAAAGTTAATTTACTCTTAAAGTAAAAGATAAGACCAAATACAGGATTTTTATTCATTGACGTTTGTATGGGGGGCTGGGAGTACAATTTTTTAAGTTTTTAACTTGTGAGGAAGAAAAACCTTGCACATTGAAGTCAAACTTCATGGCTTAGCTATTTTTCCTTCATGATTAAAGGAATATTTCTTATATGAGATTTGTGATACCACAAGGACTTTGGAACACAGTTGCCACCCTAATGCAGAACAGACTATTCTTAAAGAAAGTGTTTACTGTTAATGTTGCATTAATTCCTGCCTGATAGAAGTCTTGTGAAGATACACTGGAGGTGGTTTTTTTATTTTTTTTAGTGTTTTAACATGGAAATTATAAATCACCTCACAAATGTAAGTGTTTGTTAGTGCAAATAATATGTCAAATGTGCTCTCTTACAGGGTTTTCAGAGGCTCAGACTTTAGGATTGGAGGTGTTCCAAGCAGGCACTGCCCTAAAAGATGGCAAAGTGGTTACTAGTGGAGGGAGAGTCCTTACGGTGACAGCCATTCAGGAAAATCTCATCTCAGCCCTTGAAGAAGCCAAGAAAGGATTAGCTGCTATAAAGTTTGAGGGAGCCATTTATAGGAAGGACATTGGCTATCGCGCCATAGCTTTCCTCCAGCAGCCCAGGTAAATTTCTCTTACCTGGGTATGATAGCCCAGTTTCAGAACTGGCATCAATGACAGTATATACAATCGTTGATCAATTACTCCTTAACAAAAATGGGAAGAGGGCCTCCCTAGTGGTGCAGCAGTTGAGCGCTGGGTTGCGAAGCTGCCCGCGGCCTATGCGGCGCTGGTTCAATCCCCGGCTGCTCCCCAGCCACCGGAGGAGGGTCCCACATGGCACGCAGACCTCTCCTGCCACCCACTGCTCCCCTCAGCAGTGTACTTCAGTCCTTCTGCCTGCTCTGCTCCCCGCTCTGGCTCTGGTGAATTCTCTCACCCTCCTGCGCTTCTGACTGTACCCAGTGCATATATAAACAAAACAAACAAACAAACAAATAAATAAATAAAACATGCCTCTATTAAAAAAAAAATGGGGAGAATTTGTATTCCTTGAGTTAGCCTTATATTTGCATATTTTATCTTAGTTCCTGGTTTTGTCCAAATTCAAGATGAAAATATTGGTTACTAACTTTATAACTTGATTATATTGTAAGTTTCGGCAGTATCATTTTGTCACTGCATTTATAACTGTTACTGAAATGTGGGTTTTTTGACCTCTTAGTCATTTATTGGCATGTACAATTATTCCTTTGAAAAATCAATAAACTATTTCTTGCAGATGTGGGGATTTTGATTTCTTCAGTACCTGTCACAGTTAATATTGTGAAATGAAATTTAATACTGTGATGAAATATTTACTGTACATTGAGTTCATCTGAATTAAAATTTTTTAGGGCAGTAAGAACTTTTCAGCAAATTAATTCAAGCTATACTATTACTGATCAGCGGTTTTAAGTATAAGCATTAGAATTAGTTAGGAATATTGCTCTGCTCACCGCTCTGGCTCTGGTGAATTCTCTCACCCTCCCGCGCTTCTACCTGTATCCAGTGCTTGTATAAACAAATAAATAAATCTTTAAAAAGAAAAAAAAAAGAATTAGTTAGGAATATTAATATACTGAACTAAAAAATTATTTTTCACTTTTTAAAATGACTAATTCCCAGTGAAATCACCTAGTTCAAAAGAATATAATCTTAATATTAATTTGGTCTTTAAAGGTGAAAATGAATAGCCATAATACCAACTGCTACCTGAGAAAAAGTTTTAAACTAGTAGAACATTGTTTCCCATCTAAGCTGACTTTATTGGCATTAATTGCTGAAGTGTTCCACCCTATAGTACCCTGGCACTTGTTTCTAATAAAACCTCACATATCTTCTCATGTGTCTCTGCCTCCCATTAGGCCAGAGCTCTTGTTTTTTTACAAGGCACGATTACTGAATTCATAGTGCAATTCACAAACCTCATTTCTAAATGTACTGCTCCAACATGTTCCCCATATAGAAGGAAATGATTTGGCCTCCCTGGTGGCACAGGGGGTTGGGACACAGCCTATGAAGCTGTCCACAGCCATTGCAGCACTAGTTCCATCCCCGGCCGGGGGGATGCCCACATGGCGCAGCAGACCTCTCCTGACTTGCCCGCTGCTCCTCTCAGCAGTGTGTTTCAGTCAATCTGCCTATTCTGTTACCCACTCTGTCTCTGGCGACTTCTCTCACCACCCTGCGCCTCTGGCCTGTGCCCTAGTTCTTGTGTCCATGAATGAATAAAAAAGAAAAAGGAAATAATTTACTGAATGGCATGATTTCGCTTTTTCAGTCTGTTACCTTGTTTCCTACTGTCTTTAGCTATAAGGAAACCAATAAAATTATCTTATTTCAGTAAGAGCCCAGTTTTGTTATGTAGGGATTTCTTTGTATGGAGTTTTTTATAATTCTAGTTGACAGTTTCAGTATTCCTTCCCATACCAAAGTTGAACACAGAATGGTTGTTGCAAAATATCACTGTATTTAACTGGCTGCGAGAAGTACTTCTCAAAGAAATAATTAAGTTAGAGCAGTAGTTCTCAGTAGAGATACTACAATTAAATTATAGGTTGTCTAAACACATACCTATTCCCTAGACCAGTTAATTCAGAATCAGTAGCTGGGGCCTAACACAGTAAAGATTATATAAATCACTAGAGATAGCTTTGCTTTAAATAATATTTTAATTACTTTTAATATTTTAATTTACTTGCCATTTAGGTAATATCTTCATTGCTTTCTTAATTGTTTAGGTGCCTGACTTACAAGGACTCTGGGGTAAACATTGCAGCTGGAAATATGTTAGTCAACAGGATTAAGCCTTTGGCAAAAGCCACCTCCAGACCAGGTAAGTCAGATCCTGACTTTGCTAGTTCATTTACTTTGACAGACTGTGAATTGATTTTCGCTTTGTAGTTTATTGAGAAAAATGTTACAAACTAATGCTTTAAGGTTCCTGTATATCTTTAGTCCTCAACTTTCTTGTCTTCATCTATAACCATGATGTCAAACTCAAAAGGATGTCTGCACCTTTAATTTTTAATTACTTTTTTGGTCAATTTTTTGATCACATGGTGTTCTCTCCTGTTTTCAGGAATGGCAACTCTTGTAGCCATTCTTAGTGGTTTATGTATTCATGTTTAATCTTTTGAAATGTAGCAAGTAATTCCTTTCCAACAGGCTGTGATGTTAGTCTTGGAGATTTTGCTGGTCTTTTTGACATGAAAGCAGCCGGTTTCAAGAATCCTCTTCTGGCTTGTGGAACGGATGGTGTTGGGACTAAACTAAAGGTAATCCGATCCTATTGTGAATTACTGTATATCAAATACATATTTTTCCCATCTTGATATATACACACTAAAGAGAACCAAACTGAATAACTATATAATACAACTAAAACATCTCCATTTCTAGCTACCTGATACTCTTAAGTCTACATCTTAAAGGATTACTGTAGAGGAAAAACGGATACTTTTAGCTATCCAAATTTAATCTTTGTCTAAGTGTTCAGAGTAGCCAAGTGTCTGTATTTGTTAGCCTCCATTGATGAATTGACAAGGTATCATTTGAGGCTTACTCTCCTATGTGGATTTTTATATTATTCTACAGATTGCCCAGCAGTGCAACAGACATGATACCATTGGCCAAGATTTGGTTGCAATGTGTGTAAATGATATTCTGGCACAAGGAGCAGAGCCCCTCATCTTCCTCGATTACTTTGCCTGTGGAAAACTTGACCTTAATATTGCCGAAGCTGTTGTTAAGGGAATCGCTCAAGCTTGTCAAGATTGTCAATGTGCTCTGCTTGGTATGATCATCCCTTTTACTCTAACGTGCTTACTGTATTTTGATCTTACGTATAAATGTGATGAGTACCAATATAGCTTCACGAACAGCTATCACAAGATGAGACAAATGATCCATAGAGGATGCTCACTAAAGAAACTCTAGTGACCTCAAATTCCTTCAAGGGTGTGTCCCAGAATTATACTCTTTAAACTCTCCACCAAACTTTATTTTTCTCCTTTTACGTTTGGCCACCATTTCCTTCCTCATCTTTCTCAACAATCCTCAAAAGACAGCTTAGGTATTGTTTCTTCCTTACTGGTCCTACGGCAAAAGTAGATGGGATCCTACATGTTATAGCTTGATTTATATTTTCTCATAAAACATGTTAAGGATAAAATCCATGCTGTATACATATATTGCATATAGGGGCCTCCCTGGTGGCACAGGGGTTAAAGACAGTGCTATGAAGCAGTCCATAGCCATTGCAGCAGGAATTTGATCCCTAGCCAGGGAGGTGACCCACATGGTGCAGCAGACTCCTCTTGTCTTGCCTGTTGCTCCCCTAAGCAGTGTGTTTCAGTAGATATGCCTGTTCTGCTCCCCACTCTCTCAGGTGAATCCTCTCACCCCCCTCCCCACAACTCTGGCTTATACCCCAGTTCTTGTATAAAATAAATATTAAATATAAATGAGAATAAGGAATGAAACTTCCTCTTTATATTACATTTCTGTGGGCAAGTCTGTCCAGGAGCCAAAAATTCTTTTTCTGCAGGTCAGATACCCACTAGCAAACCTTACTACACAAGAGGGTTGTATTTACATAATTTTTTAAAATTTCATTAGCTCTTTTATTTTTTTTATGTTTTATTTTAAACATATATTTATGCATACAAGAGCTGGAGCATAGGCCAGAGATGCGGAGGGTGAGAGGACTCACCAGAGACAGAGTGGGGAACAGAGCAGGCAGACTGACTGAAATACACTGCTGAAGGAAGCAGCGGGCGAGACAGGAGAGGTCTGCTTCACCATATGGGTTGCTCCCTGGCCAACTGGGGATCAAATTCATGCTGCAGAGGCTGTGGATTGCTTCATAGTGCAGTGCTTAACCCCTTGCACCACCAGGGAGGCCCTGTTTTCATTGTTTTAAAAAATGGTCATTCGAGTTGTTTGCCTCGATGTAAAGAACTGTCCAGATATATTTGTTCCTGTGCTGTTTCCAGTTAATTACTGACAAAATAAGTTTTGTTTTTAAAAGATGATTATTACAAGTTTTATAGAAACAAAAGAGAAAAACCATGTGGCCCTAAACAAGGATGCATTCACAGCATAAAACCATGAACAAGACTGCTTGCCAGCCACAAACACTTCAGTCTGTTCAGCAAATAAGAAAGCCTATCCTTATGTTTCACTGTTAAAGAAACCAGAAGAATTCACAGGAGCTGTTCCTCATCATGATCAGACAAAGACCAGTAAAGGAAGTGTGTGCTGAGCTAACTGTGACTGCCATTTGCTTTGTTCACTAGTGTTACTCAGATTGCAAATGAAGATTCATGTCAACAGATAAAACACTGGTAAATAACTGGTATATTACAAAGAATATTTTCTTTTTACATCATGCTAAAACTACATTTCATATTAGTGTTTTATGTACTTTTTAAATTGTCTTCTCAACCATAATTTAAAAGTCTAATTTGGACTTTGCCTAAACGTGGTATCTTTTGACAATGCAATTATTTTATTTTTAAAGATTTATTTATTTGTTTATACAAGCACTGGGTACAGTCAGAAGCACGGGAGGGTGAGAGAATTCACCAGAGCCAGAGCGGGGAACAGAACAGGCAGACTGATGAAATTCACTGCTGAGGGGAGCAGCGGGCCAGACAGGAGAGGTCTGTCAAGCCATGTGGGACCCTCACCAGCAGCCGTGCAGCTGCGGAGGCGGCGTGCAGCTTCGCAGCCCAGCGCTCAACCACTACGCCACCAGGGGAGGCCCTTTTCACAATGCAATTATTAAGTGAACTATGATATGCTTTATAGGCCAGGGCACTTGGGCTTTGGTAGGCATGGTCAAATCACTTCCCACATACCCCTGTACCATCATCTTAGAAACAGTAATTCAAAGGATCAAATGTGGAGACTCAAAGAGTTCCAAAGAAAATAATACTGACCGACATATACCAAGACACATTATGGTAATGTTGAAAGCCAACAACAATGACAGAATATTTAAAACCTCAAGGGAAAAAAGGGTAACACGTAAGAACATCAGCTAGATTATTAGACATTCAGTAGAAACATTACAGCACAGAGATACTGGAAAGAGGTATTAAACTATTTAATTAAAAAGACCTCCAGTCATAATCCTTCACCCAGCAAGATCAGTGTTCAAAACAAAGTCCAAACTTCAGTTTCACAAGAAACTAGTCTTACCAACAAAGGAGACTTAAAGACTAGAAGACAAGCAAATGGCCACCAAAAAAAGGGCAGGAACAGCTATAGTTACATCTGATAAAACAGATTTCCAATTAAGGAAGGTGATAAAAGGTAGAGAGGGACATTATTATGATTAAGGGCCTACTATAAGGAGAAGTAACACATATATATGTGACAATTATAGCTCACAGAGATACATAAGATAATAGAGATACTGATATGCAGTAATACTAGGGGACTTTGATACCCCACTATAGCAATGGACAGATCAAGATAAAGCATAAATAAGGAAGCAATATGTTTAAGAGGTAGACCAAATAGGTCTAACAGACATCTACCAAACATTCCACCCAGAAGCTGCTTTTTACACCTTTTTTCAAAGGCACATGGAATATTTTCAAGAACAGACCATATCGTGAGACACAAGTCAGCTGTCAATAAGACTATGAAGATTGAAATGATACTAGTACTTTTTTCTGACCATAGTGCCATACAGTTAGAAATTAACTGTAAGAAAAATACAGGAAAGACTAAATATGTGGAGACTAAAGAGCATATTTCTTAGTAGGAACTGGACAAAAAAGGAAATCAAAGAAATTAGAAATACCTTCAGACAAATGAAAATGATGTGGACACTAACAGAACCGATGAGACAGCAAAACCAGTCTGAAGGGAGAAGACAATTGCAATCGGCCCACATTAAGAAGCATGGAAACTCAGTCACCTAAAGCAACCTGAATAAGAGGAACAATCAAGACCCAAAGTTAGTAGAAGGAAGAAAAGCATAAAATGAAGAGCTGAATAAAATGAAATGTGTGAAATAGATCAAAAAGCATATACAGAAAATGAAAGATCCCCTTCATCAAGAAAATTAGATAAACCTCTAGCAAGGCTAACAGGAAAAAAAAAGAAAACAATCACAAATGAAAGAAGAAATCAAATAAATTTGATGACCTTGAAGAAATGGGTAAATTGCTAGGTGGGTACTATGTTACATCCGTGTAATGGGATACTACTCAGAAATAAAAAGAGTGGGTGAAAAAAACAATCATGTGCAAGCGTTTCTAAACTAAACTATAGAAATAACATTCAGCCAAGTGTTCATCCTGTGAAGTCATGTTTAGCGGTTACACAACACATTTGCAAAGATAATGTCTGCCTTTACTCTTGTGCAGGTGGACGCCATTTCCTCTGAAGTCGTACTTGGCTGGAAGTTCTGTTAGGCTGCTAATACATTTTAATTGTTTACGTTTTATTGAATATTGGTGGAATATAGTCACAGTTATAACAATTGCTTGTATTGAGAGTAGTAGGCAGGTTTATAGTATGATGCGATTTCTCTGCTCATATTCCATCTTCCTGCCAGGTGGAGAAACAGCAGAAATGCCTGATATGTATCCTCCTGGAGAATATGACTTAGCCGGTTTTGCTGTGGGTGCCATGGAGCGGGAGCAGAAACTCCCTCAGCTGGACAGAATCACTGAAGGGGACAACGTCATTGGAATAGCTTCATCTGGTCTTCACAGCAATGGATTTAGCCTTGTGAGGAAAATCGTAGAGAAATCTTCCCTGCAGTACTCCTCTCCAGCACCTTGTGGTTGTGGTGACCAGACCTTAGGTAAACGCACTCACGTTTAAACTTGCCTGCTTTGAAATGTCTGAGCAGCCACTTAGTGAGGTTAGTCCATCACTACTCACAGTTAGAGTGGACCAGTCACATCATCCTTAGCTTTGCTGTTTGGACACTATTGTTCAACAGATGTGTCTGTGCGGCATCCCCATCATTCTACTTTGAGAATGCTTTTATTTGTACTTTAGTTTTATATTTGCAAGCTAAGTTTTTGTCTTTATCTCTCAAAATACAGGGGATTTACTTCTGACACCAACCAGACTCTACAGCCGCTCACTGTTACCTATCCTGCGCTTGGGACACGTCAAGGCATTTGCCCATATCACTGGTGGAGGACTCCTAGAAAACATTCCCAGGGTCCTCCCTCAGAAATTTGGGGTAGATTTAGGTAAGCTTAACAAAAGGAACTTTTTGTTCAGAAAACCTTTAGGAAAAATACATTATGGGAGAAAGCTATTGGTGCACATTTGATTATACATGGAAAATTCTTAATCACTGAAGGTTTATGGGGGAGAATTGAGCTGACTCTTTTCTGCCTCTTTTTCCTTCCTTAGCAATGCTTATAAGACATAACAACTTCACATAACTGACTTGTAGAAAATAAAGTGCTCTCAGCAGATCCTCCAAGGGAGTTGGTAATTTCAAGCTCTATCCAAATGGAACTAGGAACAGGCTAGCAGGGAACTGGTAGAAGGAAATAAAGAGGCCCCAAACAAACCAAGGTATAGAGAAGGGAGGCAGGGTTGAGAATCACTTTATACTTAGAAGGAAAAAGAAGTTAGGTTTTCTATTAAGCAGGTGAGTGGATTGTAATGTCTGTAATAAGAGGAAGGGTACGTTTGGAATATGAAGTGGAAAGACAGTATTTTCAATAGTCACTGTGTTCATTACAAGATGTCTGTAAGCTGAATTTGAGAGAGATCAGCCTGAAGAGACTTGGGTACTCATGTGCAGATAGTAGTAGTTATAACCAAAAGACAGGGGTAACAAAAGGTTGTTCCTCAGTGTTCTGCCCATCTTAAAGGTTGACAGAGGTAAAATTAATGCAAAGAATAGTCAGAAGCAAAGAGTAAACCATGTCAAACTATCATTAACAATCCAAGGAAGGATTTTGGTTGGTGGTTTTTAACATTTTGAAAAGATAGGTTTATTAGGGAAAGCCACAGGCAGGCAGGGAAGAGAGCTGCCCAAGGAAGGATTTGACTATGATGCTGGTCAATAGTCAGATGCAGGACATATATCTAGGATGAGGACCAGAACAAGGCCAATATATTTTAGGGTTGGCTTAAAAGCATTTTGGCTTGAGGGTAGATAACCCTCACGCAGTGGTGTTGGGGGGACTGATTGGCAGAGATACAAGACAGTGAATGGAGATTTCTATCTCAGGAAACCCATTGGCAAAAGAGAATGGGGTATAATAGCTTAGATACATGGCAGAAGTAAGAAACAAGTTTCTAACCCACCCTCCTGTTTTTATAGAGTAAAAGTCAGAGGCACTGTACCAACCAGATAATATAGTCAGTTAACATACATTGTTTGAGGGAATGGAAACTAAAGAAGTTCTCACAGAATAATGCCTTTTCTCATGAAGTAATAAGAGCTTGGTGAGATGAGCAGACCTGAGTGGCAGCCTGAGGAAGAATAAATTAATAAAGCACTCAAGGTCAGAAACAGCAATGAGGTAGTATATAGCACTGAAGGTAAAACTGAAGCTGTTTAATTTTTCCACCAAAGTAGGCATGGGAAGCCTTGAAACAAACACAGAAAAGTTGATTGTGTTGATCCAGTTGGGCTAGGCAAGTAGAGAGATGGGTTGTGTGGGGAGGCACCTGTGGTTAGTTTTGCTGAGCTAACCCAGAGTCTGAGAGTGAAGCTAGTGAAGAAACAGTAAGGTGTGCTGGAAGAGTGGTCTAGTAGTGGGGTTCAGCCTTGCCAGGGATACCAGAGACAACCTGGGCTAAATGGATCCCTCCTTAGAATAGTAAGGACTTGAAGGGCACATGGGATTAAATTCAAGGTTTAAGACTTTGCAGGGATTCCTATCCTTTCCAATGTAGTAACAAAATCTTAACCAGTTATTTCCTTCATCATGCCCTTCACCTCAGTAAAAACACTGACTTGCTGATAAGTGGGAAAAGAAGACAGGCATAATTTATACCTGTGCCACTTTCTATCCTGGCAAATTTTTACATAACCAATTCTATTTGATGGCCTCTGCTGCCTGTTACACACAGTGGAACATCCCAAAGTTCAGTTTATACAGCCATATTCTTAAACTTCTGTTTTGAATTACTCAAATATCTGTGTCCCGGTAGAAATGAAACTCAGTCCCTTGAGCCTTAGCCTAGGAAGTTTCTTCCAGGAATCAAACCTTGAGAGCAGATTAAGTCTCAAAGTTATCATTTGTTATACTACTTATAAAGTACTGGGTCATTTATAGAAACTAAACTGCTAGCCTGTTGGTGTCTTTTTTTTTTTTTCCCCCTATAAGTACTTTGTAGAAGTTTTACTAAAATGAGATTGTATTTTTATGGCTTTGCCACTCCTTGGTTTTATATTGCTCTTGACTTGACTATTGATAACATAGTGAATGTCATAATAGCCAAAGCTTTGATCTCAACTTTGAAAAATGGACATTTCCCAGCTGGTAAAAATGAACGGAACTGCTAGAGAAGGTTCCTAGACACATGACACCTTCTAGAAACTGTATTAACTCTAGAACATTAAAAAATTGATTATCATACAGATATATCAAATAAGGGGAACTGATAGCCTCATTATTTAATTAAAAGATGTATCCACAGTGACTTTATTAAATGCTTAATTCAATTTAACTTTCATAAATCAGAATCCATAATTGTGGATTCCCAAGAACTATGCAGATTATTTTATTCAAGAATTTCGTATGTTTTATATATAGGCTTTTACCTGTATTTATTCATTAGTAACCTTTGGTGTATTATATGTGAAAATAGAGGATATCTTCTTATAACAGACCTAACAGTATAATTTTAATGTATGCATCACCTGAATCTGTGTAAACTCACCCTAGTTTTGCATCATATTTAGGGTGCATTTTAAATCCCAGCTCAACATGTTCTTAATGTCTAAGGTACAAATTTGGATCCCAATTTGTATCTCAAGAAGACTTCTAAAAGGCCAGTTTTGCCCTACATATAATTGTAATTTCCATAGTAATTTCCACATGCACACTTTTTATACTTAATGTGAGGTGACAGCTTGATCAAACAATTTGCCTATTTTCAGATGCCCAGACCTGGAGGATCCCCAGGATCTTTTCATGGTTACAGAAGGAAGGACACCTCTCTGAAGAAGAGATGGCCAGGACATTTAACTGTGGGGTTGGCGCTGCCCTGATAGTATCAAAGGATCAGACAAAGCAAATTCTAAGGGATATTGAGCAGCACAAGGAAGAAGCCTGGGTGATTGGCAAGGTGGTTGCATGTCCTAAAGGTAATCTCTCCTTACTTAGTTGTTCTTAAGTATATCATCTTAAATATAGCTCTGCCCTGGCTCATAAGGTCTCTGCCCACCTTTTTTCCCCAGCCACTGCTATGATAACTGTTTTACACAGGTGTGACATGACAGCTCCCACCACCTAGCTCTTCCTTTGTACTCTATGTTGCAAACTAGCAGGTGTACCCCTCAGGACAGCCCTTGACCACTGGGGAGAGAACTAATACATAAATAACCACTTCTAAAACAGGAGTGGTTCCAAGGCGCAGTCTAACTGGCTTCTTGGGGGATCCCAATGAAATTGGCCCCTGTTACTGGTGGTGACCAATTTAATAACACACTTTTGGACTTCCCTGGTGGCACAAGGGGTTAAGCACCACACTAAGAAGCCTCTGCAGCACAAGTTCGATCCCGGCCAGCCAGGGAGAAACCCACATGGCGCAGCAGACCTCTCCTGCCTCGCCCGCTGCTTCCCTCAGCAGTGTATTTCAGTCAATCTGCCTGTTCTGTTCCCTGCTTTGTCTCTGGTGGATCCTCTCACCCACTGCATGTCTGGCCTGTGCCCCAGCTCTTGTATGTATAAATAAATAAATCTTTAAAAAAAAAAACACACACACACTTTTCTTGGCTCTCCCCATATCACTGTTCCCAGAGTTGACTCTGGTTTCCTGGGATCACTTTCCAAAGTAATCTTGTGAAAACAAGACCCTGTCTTAAGCTCTGCTTTGTGGTTTGGCTCTCTTCATGGATAGTGAACAAGCACCCTGTCCCATACTGTCACTCGGTCAAAAGTACTAGAAATTGATGTGGCAGAACAGCCACTTAGATTAGTTAACAGAGATCTCAGAGCTTGTTGAATGTGTATCTGCTTTTTTTTCCTTTATTGTGTAAGTTTCATTTTCAGGCAGGTTCCCCAAATACCGGAAAGGTCTTAAGCCCACATCCTTCAGCTCATGTTGCAATAAGAAAAAGAGGCCCTCTCTTACTCAACACCCTATATCAAATCTTTGAATGCCTCACTTGGGTCACATGCCTACCCTTGAGACCAGGAAGTCAGAGCACTATTGTGGGTGCAAGATTAAGGGTGGGGCTGGGTAGGAGGGGCCTAGAGAACACTAACAGGTCCACTATTCATATTAACTTGGTTGAAGTAAATAATGACATGTTCACCCTTCAGAAAGTTTTTATGAATGAGTAATGTTAATACAAACCTATTCATTTTAATCCTTCATACTTTATTTTCATCATAAAGTACAATAAACTAAAGTATATAAAACAACTTTTATCTGTATCATTACTGTTAATTCATGATTTTTCTTTATTGGGCGTATTTGAAATGAAGGTTCTCCTCGTGTGAAAATCAAGCATCTGATTGAAACTATAAAAGAAAATGGATCAGTGCTGGAGAATGGCACCCAGCTGGGGAACGGCACCCGGCTGGGGAATGGTACACATTTGGGGAATGGCACTCTGCTAGAGAATGGCACCTCACTACGGAACAGCATCCAGGTAGAGAATGGTTCCCAGCTGGGGAACGGCACCCTGAAAAATCATTTGTCTCTCCAGTCAGAAAAAGCAAGAGTGGCTGTCTTAATATCTGGAACAGGTGAGATGTGACTTTCTCTTTACTGTAGAGTTATAGAAACACTCTTCCCTTCCTCCCAGCCCCCCAAAAGTATCTTCAGATGGTGAGGACACTCAGTAGAGTGGGGCGAATTGAGGGAATCATTCAGGACTGTTATCTAGTCTGTAGTCTTGGTCTTTCCTCTTTCTCAAGGCATTTATGGGACAGCTCCCAACAGAAAAGGTCAAGGATGTAGGAAAGATATCTGAAGAAAAGACAGATGAGAATTCCAGCTTGTGTGTCATAGCTTTATAGTTGAGGTCTGTGAACAACCTATAAACAATTGAGGGTTGGTTTTATTTTTCCACCATTATATTTAATAGAGTTATGAAAATTATTTTAAATATTCAGTATGTTCCTAAGTACGTATCTAATTGTTTCTTTAGGATACATTTCAAAGAGTGTAATTACTTTATGAGTTTCTTTTGTTTGGGTTTGTTTTTTGTTGATTAGATGAGGTGGGTGGGGTGGTTTTTTTTTAAGAGCTTTATTTACTGAGATATAATTCACATATCATACAGTTACAATTCAGTGATTTTGGGCATAGTCACAGAGTTGTACAAACAAACTTAGAAGTCCATTTTAAGATTTTGGTATGCTTTGGCGCCAAGATGGGCTATAGTTGATGATAGAGTAGAGAAACTGTTGTCAAGGCCATAGTGTGAGATTACTTGTGTTATTTCTTGTTTTTCAGGATCAAACCTTCAAGCGCTCATAAAGAGTACTCAGGAGCCAAGTAGCTCTGCACACATTGTTGTTGTTATCTCCAACAAAGCTGCAGTGGCCGGGTTAGATAAAGCAGAAAGAGCTGGAATTCCCACCAGAGTAAGTCATGTTGAAAAGTATCTTTCCTGTAGCTTATATTTAAAGTCCTGCTATGTCCTCCTAGAACCTGGGTGAATGTATCTTCCAAAAAGAATTAAGCATGATATGTAAAGGTTAATTAAGTGTGATATGTAAAGGTTATTTAAAGGTTGAGCCTTAAATAATTTTTGGTAATTTGTTGAAAAAGACTTTGCTTATCTTTTTCATTTACAGGTAATTAATCATAAATTGTATAAAAGTCGTGAAGAATTTGACAGTGCAATTGACCAAGTCCTTAAAGAGTTCTCCACAGACATAGTCTGTCTTGCAGGATTCATGAGAATCTTATCTGGCCCCTTTGTCCAAAAATGGAATGGTAAGCAAAATTGTTTGATATTTTGATACCACATCAAGAAATCAACTGAGGGCCTCCCCCATGGCGCAGCAGTTGAGCAGTGGCTTGCAAAGCTGCCCACAGCCTCTGCAGCACCGGTTCATTCCCCGGCCACCGGGCAAGGGTCCCACATGGCGTGCAGACCTCTCCTGCCGCCCGCTGCTCCCCTCAGCAGTGTACTTCGTCAGTCTGCCTGCTCTGCTCTCCGCTCTGGCTCTGGTGAATTCTCTCACCCTCCCACGCTTCTGACTGTACCCAGTGCTTGTACAAATAAATAAATCTTTAAAAAAAAAAAAAAAGAAAGAATCAACTGAAATTGACTTAAAAAAGGATGCCTGATTTGCCATACAGTTCCACTCATGAAATATTTACTGTGATTTTTTTTTTAAAGATTTACTGATTGGGTAGTCAGAAGCGCGGGAGGCTGAGAGGATTCACCAGAGTCAGAGTGGAGAACAGAACAGGCAGGTGGAGCAAAATACACTGCTGAGGGGAGCAGTGGGCGCAGCAGGAGAGGTCTGTCGCGCCATGTGTGACCCTCGCCGGCGGCCAGGGATCAGACCGGCGCTGCAGAGGCTGCGGGCAATTTCGCAGCCCAGTGCTCAACTGCTGCACCAGCAGAGGAGGCCCTGTGATTTTTTTTTTTTTTTTTAGTTATTTATGCGTAGAAGAACTGGGATGCAGGCCAGAGGTGTGCAGGGGGTGAGAGGATTCAACAGAGACAGAGCGGGGAGCAGAACAGGCAGATCTACTGAAATACACTACTGAGGGGAGCAGTAGGCGAGGCGGGAGAGGTCTGCTGTGCCATGTGGGTCAGCTCCCTGGCTAGGGATTGAATTCATGCTGCAGTGGCTGCTGATAGCTTCATAGTGCTGAGACTCAATCCCTTGCGCCACCAGGGAGGCCCTCATTTCTTATCTTTGATTTAAAAAGAAATGTATTCCGGTGAAATCCTGCTCCTGTTGACGCCAGATTCTAAACAAAATAGTGTATGTCCCTTTGACAGAAACACAGGATTTTTAAATTCTAACTAACCATTATGATTTTATTAATTTCCAGGGAAAATGCTCAACATCCACCCATCCTTGCTCCCTTCTTTTAAGGGTTCAAATGCCCATGAACAGGCCCTGGATGCCGGAGTCACAATCACTGGGTGCACTGTGCACTTTGTAGCTGTGAGTATGTCTGTACCAAAATACTGTCAGTGTTTAGATGTACATTGCTCTGGCTAGAAGGTAATGTTCAAACTTCTTCATCCTTTTCCAGGAAGACGTAGATGCTGGACAGATTATTTTACAAGAAGCTGTTCAAGTGAAGAGGACTGATACTGTTGCAACACTGTCTGAAAGAGTAAAATTAGCAGAACATAAGATCTTTCCCAGAGCTCTCGAATTGGTGGCCAGTGGAACGGTACAGCTTGGAGAAAATGGCAAGATCTGTTGGGTCCAAAAGGGCCAGCTTTGAAAGAAGAATGTTTACATAGTAGCTTTTTATCATGGATTCAGCTCTCAAAAAAAATTTCTAAACAGGAGAGTATATTCAAACATTGTAAAAAAGAGGATTTTCCGAGAGCAAATGTCAGCAATGCCAGAATCTCCTGGTTTTGCTATTGTTTTTGTGTTACAGTGAATTTAGGCATCATCTCTGTGTCGTCTTACCTGTACTCCTGGTTAGGAGATCAGAGGTAGTCAAAGGTCCATGGGCATGTAAATTCCCGCTGGTAGATGCTGTCAGTAATTGCAAAGTTCTTGCCACCCGAAAGGCTGAGGCACTTCTAACTTTCTGCAGTAGTTGTCGCCATTGCTCCATAATCTTTATGAAGTGTCATGTATTTGTAGCTTCTTAGTTTATTTTCATTTCTAAGGTAGTGGTAAAATGAGTCTTTAAAAAAAAACCTGCTAAGGACTTCCCCTGGTGGTGCAAGTGGTTGAGCATCATGCAGCCTCTGTTGTTGTCCGCAGCCTCTGCAGTGCGGGGTTTCCCGGCCAGCCGGCGAGGGTCCCACATGGCACGGCAGACTTCTCCTGTCACGCCCGCTGCTCCCCTCAGCAGTGTATTTCCTCAGTCTGCTTGTTATGTTCCCCGCTCCGTGTCTGGTGAGTCCTCTTTCCCTCCCCTGCATCTGGCCTGTGCCCAGGTTCTTATATAAATAAGTAAATCTTTGGAAAACAAAAAATCTGCTAAAAACCTCACCCTTCTTTGGCATTGTAATGATAGACATGCATTTAAACAAAACTGGCACAGCATGTCTAGGACATGGGTGTCATCTCTGGTGGTCTGTCAGGTTTTACTTGTCAAGAATGTTCTCAGTCATCATCAGCTTAGTTATTCAGAATTCCTTTCACTTTCAGCCAAACAAGATACCAAAATTCTTAGTCCTTAACATTTTTCTGACCATGGCCACCTCCATTTTTTTTAGCTACATGTTCTCTAACCTTTGAAAAGCTCGCCAACTAACAAGTTAATATCTCTTTCCCATGTTGTGCACTAGCGTCAGACATAGAGCTTTAGGTACATTATTCATCCTGTCTCTGATTCCTTATCTACTAACATAGGCAACTGCGTGTCATATAGTTGTTTTGATAATTAAATTTAATACATATATGCTAAGAACAGTTTTTGGCATGGAGTAGACACAAAAGATCTGCATCTATTTCTGAGTTCCTGCTCCCTGTTTTGATGTGTTATTCATTCAATAACTACATCTTGAACATAATATACATCAAGGATGGTGATGCTGGAATGTTAGAAGTGTGGCAGCAATGGGGCATTCAGGTACAGCACTTCACATAGGTCCCTTTGTTGTAAAAGCAGTTGACTCATTTCTTCTAGAGACTTCAGTCTACCTGATTAAGCACCTGTTACATATGTGTCAGACATTGCCTTATGAAGTCTAGCGAAAGGAAAATGTTACTGGTTAATAAAATCACATACTATAATAAAAATAGAGGCTGGTACCAAGATGTAATTGGGGGGGGGGAATCAATGAGAATTTATGCAAGAAATAAAATTCCTAGGCCTTACTTTAATGCTAATCTCTACCTAAAGGAATGTGAACTCCATGTAAATTAGTTGACTCCATATCTTGGGATAGGGAAAATCAAAAATGTGCCTGAAATTAATTACCAGAAGCCAAAAAACAGTTGACAATAACGGGAGTAAGAGGACAAAGGAGTTGGCTTAAAGGAAGTCCCCTGCCAGCCCGTTTGTGATGAATTGAGTCTTATTTAGAAATGTTGGGTTTATGGATGGTTAGTTTGTGGTACTCAAAAATGAAAAGTCATTTAAGTTATGCAGAAACAGTAATAATGCAAAAAAGAACAAGATGCTAATATTTTCTTAATGCAGTCAGTATGGATATTTGTCTTTCATGGTAGATACCTGTTTCTTTGTATAAGTAGGAATAAAACAATCCCTTCATCACAGTTCAGCCAGAAAGATGTGGGTTGTGACTGTTACTCAGCCTTGCTGGTTACACAACAGTTGTAAATGACTTGAGTGTGAGTCCAAAATAAGCCAAATGTTCTTAAGAGGAAAGTTACAATTTCTAAGAGTTCATGGCCTCTACATGTTTATTCTCAAATTTTTTACTTACGTCTTTACAAACATTTTTAACTCTCAAGTACAATAGCATTTAATTGTAATAAAGCTTAATCGCTGACATACAACTAGCCTTTTCTTGTTTTGTTTTTTTTTCTTCTTCAAGAATTTCCTTGGGGCCTCCCCCTGTGGCACAGTGGTTGAGCGCTGGGCTGCGAAGCTGCCCGCAGCCTCTGCAGCGCCGGTTCCATCCCCAGCCACAGGCGAGGGTCCCACATGGAGCGACAGACCTCCCCTGCCTTGCCCGCTGCTCCCCTTCAGCAGTGTCTTCGCTCCATCTGCCTGTTCTGTTCCCCACTCTGGCTCTGGTGAATTCTCTCACCCTCCTGTGCTTCTGACTGTACCCAGTGCTTGTATAAAAAAAAAAATTTCCTTGGCTATTCTCCCCGATGCTAGGCAGCCAAAATCATGCCCCAGAGACACCAGCAAGGACACTGTTATTGTGGCCAAGTCAGGCTCTGTTAGCCCCGCTTCCAGTGGCCACTGCCCCCACAACTCAAAACAGTTTTACTGCCAGTGTTTCTGGGTCTCCCATCCTGCTCTCATGGCCAGGGGTCAGTGAGCTGCATTTTGTCAATTCGCTAACACATGAATTTTGCCACCTCCACCACTGTTTAAAATAGTCACCAGCAGTCATTCTTCCACAAGGCCCGCTCACCGTATTTACCACAACACAAGGCCGTTTGCCTTATGGAGACAGTTGCTAATAAACATTGAAAATTAGTTCAAGAATAGAAATTCAAGTGCCCATCAGCTGATGGAATTGCTAACAAGTGGTGTAGCCATACAATAGCTCTTCAGTGAGAAAGAAGAGCAATCTAGGGAACACAACTTCATAACTAAACACGGGCACATGGGTCATAAGCCTTCCATGAACCCTTTAGTGCCAAGACCTTATACCTGTACGCCATAAGCTTCATATTTTCAGTTACTTTTGTTGTGTTTTGACTGTTCTTTGGTTATTTATATTCCCACAGATAAGTGAAAGTGATTTGGGCCTGGGCGTCCAGGAGCCTAAGCCGGCCGGTGAGGTGCTCTCAGTCTCAGTCCTTGGTCTCAGCGAGGAAAGAATTCAATGTAGACAGAAAAGCAAGCAGTTTTTGGACAAATAGGACAGGAAAGCTCTCTGAGCAGAGAGGGGTCCCGAGTGGGCTGCCACTGAGGGGGCAAGAACCAGTAGGTGTAGCAGACAAGGAGTGGGGGCTCAGACTCTGGGTGTCTTGGCATTCTATCTGTTGATTGGTTGGGAGTGGGTCTCCCAGGGTCCTTGGTCTGTTTCCCGGGGATGAACTTGAGTCTGTTGCAGCATTGTGTGAGATTCTTCCCTGGGTTGGGGCACCCTGGCTCCGGCTGACTGCTTCTCAATCTATTTGATAAATGGGCTTGGGAGCACACTGACCCTAACTGCCTACCTGTGTCCAGCCTAAATTCCTCCTTCAAAGCCATCCAGTAATTGTCTTTCATTTTCAGACTTAATTCACTTGGCATGATCATCCTAAGATCCATTCATACTGTCCTGAAAAGCAGTATTTCATCTTTTTAATTTTGATTTTATTGAGGTAATACCGGTTTACAACATTGTGTATGATTCGGAAGCCTGGGATCACACCCCTGCAGATGTGTTACCAGGCCACACCCACCTCCAAGGCACCCATAGTCCACCATGTGCACTGAGCCCCACCCCCTTTACTCCCCATCCCTTCCAGCAGCCTCAATTCTGCAGTCAAATTCTACAGTTTGTTTCAGTTTAATTTTGTCTGTTCCTTTGTTTTTGTTTCTATTGACATAGTCCACATGGGTAAAACCATGTAGTGTTTGTCTCTCATTCTGACTTATTTGACTTAGCATAATCCCCCCCAAACAGAACGCTTCATGAATTTGCCTGTCATACTCGTGCAGTGGCCATGCTAATGTCTGTCATTCCAGTTTCTGTGTGATGTGCTGCTGAAGTAAGCACAGTATTTCATCTTTTTAAATAGCTGAGTCATATGTCACTGAGTACATATACCACGATTTTTTTTTAACCTTTTTTTTGTTGTACATTTTATTTTATTTTTTTAATAGAGGCATTTTTTTTTATTTGTTTGTTTGTTTTTGTTTATACATGCACTGGGTACAGTCAGAAGCGCGGGAGGGTGAGAGAATTCACCAGAGCCAGAGCGGGGAGCAGAGCAGGCAGAAGGACCGAAGTACCCTGCTGAGGGGAGCAGCGGGCAGCAGGAGAGGTCTGCGCGCCATGTGGGACCCTCCTCCGGTGGCCAGGGCGCAGCCAGGGATCGAACCGGTTTCGCAGAGGCCGCAGGCAGCTTCGCAACCCAGCGCTCAACTGCTGCACCTCCGGGGAGGCCCTTTTTGTTGTACATTTTAAAGGACAGTTATAGGGCCTCCCCGGTGGCGCAGCGGTTGAGCGCTGGGTTGCGAAGCTGCCCGCAGCCTCTGCAGCGCCAGTTCAATCCCCGGCTGCTCCCAGGCCACCTGAGGAGGGTCCCACATGGTGCGCAGACCTCTCCTGCCACCCGCTGCTCCCCTCAGCAGTGTACCTCGGTCCTTCTGCCTGCTCTGCTCCCCGCTCTGGCTCTGGTGAATTCTCTCACCCTCCCGCGCTTCTGACTGTACCCAGTGCTTGTATAAATAAATAAATATTTAAAAAAATAAAAAAAATAAAAATAAAGGACAGTTATATTAGGAAAAGGAAGAGGCACTGCATAGTCACAGGCGGGCAGGAGAGCTGCCATATATCACAATTTCTTTGTCCACTTGTCTGTCGATGCGGTTAGGTTGGCTCCATGTCTTGGCTTTAGTGAGCAAAGCTGCTATGAACATAGGAGTGCATAAATCTTATTAAATTAGTGTTTTCATAGTATTTGGATAAAAACCTAAAAGTGGTATTGCTGGAACATACGCTATTTCCATTTTTCCATTTTTAAGGACTCTCCATGCTGTTTCCATAGAGGCTGCACCAATTTACATTGCCCCTAATATGATCTGCACTTTTAACTTGCAGAACTGAAGGAAATAATTTCTGTTGTTTTGGTCTCCAGGTCTGTGGTATTTTGTTACAGCAGCCCTAGCAGACCAATACAGTGAGTTTCTTTGATCCTCATATATTTCTCCTGTGGAACCCAGGAATTTGTATTATCTAAACTGTTTCCCCCAGAGGGAAAACTTTAAAGACAAGTTGAAGCTTTAGCCCCCTCACTTACCTTTTGCTGGGCATGCTCTGTCCTGTGGGTCTAGTTTCAAGGTTACTGCTGCCCCCCCCCCAATACACACACACACCTCCTCAAGGGCCAGCAAGCCACTTTGGGTGTTCTGGGTGGGTATGTGTATGGACCCAAAGCCTCCTGTGCAAAGACTAAACTGAAGATCCTGGGATTTCCGGCAGGCTGACAGGTGCCCTGGGGGAAGAGCTGTTTCTCCCTCATTCTACTTGACTTCCAAGAGAAAGGAACCATAAGCTCATTCCCAGTGGAAATGTTATATTAGTTAAGGCTACCATAACAAAATACCATAGATAGGGGTCGAGAGGGGATAGGGTAGGGAAGAGAGAGGAAGCTTAAACACTAGAAATTTTTTTCTCTTAGTTCTGGAGGTTTGAAATCCGAGGTGAAGGTGTCAGCTGGTTTGGCTTCTGAGGCCTCTCTCTTTGCCTCTCTCTGTGGCCTCACGGAGTCTCCTGTGCGTCCACCTTCTCAGTGTGCCTCTTACACAGACAACAGTGGGACTGGATTGGGGTCCCCCAAACACTGCGAGACAGCCCCCTCCTGGGCGCCCTCCTGCACTGTTCACTGCTGTTCTGTGTCCACTGCGGGCTCCGCTTCCCACTGGGTGCTGCATGCTTCCTGCCGCCATGCCCTCCAGCCCACACACGCAGATGACCTGCCTCAGCTACACTCAAACCCAGCTCAGTTCTCATTTTAACTTAATCATCTCTTTTTGCGGGGAGAATAAGTAGGGTTGGGAACAAAGGGGTGAGGGGCCAATAGCCTGAGGTAAGGTAAAGGCTATGGGTACTTTGGTGTGTGGGGGGAGTGGGGGGTGGTAACATGCTTCTGAGGAGGTGGGAACTTTATTTCCTTAAATCATATACAGGTTTGTACACCAAAGTTACCTCAATAAAGAAGATAAATAACTTCCTTAAGCATTGAGTTATCTACTCCACTTTTCATGCCCAGACTAGCTTTCAGAAACGAAACAGATGATATGAAAAAATTTCTAAGGTTATAGAATAGATTAATTTTCAACATATGTTCTCTGATTTCAAAATTATTGGGCAAATACTCTGTTCACATTTAGGAGAACTTATGCTTGACAACAACTGTTTCCATTGTGGAGCAGGATACATTTAAATATTTCTCTCATTAAAAGGATTCAAGGGCCTCCCCAGTGGCGCAGCGGTTGAGCGCTGGGTTGCGAAGCTGCCCGCAGCCTCTGCAGAGCCGGTTCGATCCCCGGCTGCTCCCCGGCCACCGAAGGCAGGTCCCACATGGCGCGCAGACCTCTCCTGCCGCCCGCTGCTCCCCTCAGCAGTGTCCTTCGGTCCTTCTGCCTGCTCTGCTCCCCGCTCTGGCTCTGGTGAATTCTCTCACCCTCCCGCACTTCTGACTGTACCCAGTGCTTGGATAAATAAATCTTTAAAAAAAAAAAAAAAGGATTCAAGATTAGGGGCCTCCTGGGTGGCACAAAGTGTTAAGATTCAGCACTATGAAGCTATCGGCAGCCACTAAAGCACGAGTTCAATCCCTGGCCAGGGAGGTGACCCACATGGCTCAGCAGTCCAACCACCATCCAGGCTGCCTGCTGAGTGATGACATTTTTTAAGAAGTGAGAGAATAAAAAGTACTGAATAAACCCAAGAAGCCCTCTGTAAATATGATTTTCGTGGAAAGAAGGGTGGGGTTTCTTTCTAACCAATCAATGTATACTCTTAAATGAAAAAGGTACAGGAAGTATATATATCACACTACTATTTATGTATACAAAGAGGATTTTGGCAGTACAGGCAATCTTGGAAAGAACACCCAGCACTGGGTACCAGCACTCAACAAGGTGGGGGGCAGGGATGAGGTTTTTCTAGCATCTTTTGCTTT